AAAAAAAAAAAAAAAAAAAAGCAGGGAAATCATTATAAATTAAATTAAAAGGAAACAAACTCAAGCATGCCTAACACACGATGTAAGCTGAACAAAGTTTCAGTCTCAATTAGACCAGACATGAGAGCCATGCCGATAAATTAAAAGCCTGGATGCTCTTGGCTGCAAAATAAAGCTGTAAATAAAATTGCTATCGTGCTCCATCATTCTCAATATGTACCAAAAAACCAAAGTAAAGTTCCAAAACTTTTGTTTCCACTTTTCCTCAATACATGAGCACTGTTTGGCGACTTTTATAAATGATAAGGTTTAAGGGGAAACATATGATAAGGTTGTAAAAATACTTAGGAAAACTACCTAAACAATTAATCCGCTTTTCAATTATATGGACATCCAAACAGTGCCTTACAATGTCATCCACATGTTCTTCAGGCCAAAGAAACCAAAAAAGAGACAGCAGAAGCAGTAAGCTACTAGGAATGGACAAAACCCGAATAACAAGCAAACTTTATGAGGCCAATGTACTGCAATCCATGTGCTAAAAGTGATTTTTTTTAAAATGGAAAGAAAGCAAGAAAATGCGGCCCGCTCCTGATCCAAAACACATCCTTTCAATCTAAATCTCTACTTTTTTCCAGTTTCTATTATTTTGTGATTTAAGGGTCCAAATTACAGCTCTGAAGCTCTGCAGAAGCACGTCTTCTTGCTTAAACACCGCTACCATGTGGGTTATTTTAACCCTGACATCTGAGAATTACTGACTGAAGAATGTCACTGCCACTCTCAAACTTTCTCTCTTTTTCAAAAATCAACAATGATGAAGGAATCTCAGGTTAGTTTTTCAATATAACTTGACAAACCCCATTTGAGAATTCCATCTTCAACTCCTGAATTGCTCAAAAAATTCGGATGGGAATCACTGGAGAGCTGATGAGAAGTGTCTTCTCTAGAAACAAGTCCGGCAATGTAAGTCTTTTCTTGAAGCTTTCTTTATGCTATGAAAATCAAAGAGTTGAGATTAGAAAGCTAAAAAACCTTTTCTTCTCTTCATGAATTATTGCTTAATATGTCAGGGAAGAAGCAATGTGGTGGATAAGAGAAGAAGGGGAACCGTCAGATCATACCTCTGTGGGGAAGAGTTTTATTCAGTCGTGGCAGAGGAGCATTCAGCTTCTGTGCAGAGCTCGGAAGCCACCGTGACACAACCTTTATCAGAACCCTTAATGGAGAAGGGAGATATTCAGAGTGAAGCAAGCCAGCAAAATATACCAAAGGGAAAACAAGGCTCAATTTCCGACCTTTATCACGAAGAAGATGCAGCTATTGTTATTCAATCAGCCTTTAGACGCTTTCTGGTAGTAATTTTTGACTTTCTTTTTCCCCCTTTTCCTCCGTTTGGATTTGAGTTTGTAATCATTTCTACGCATTGGATTTCAGACAAAATGTAGAAATATTGAAGAAATCAAATCAAAGGATGGAAATAAAGAACCTTTTGTTGAAGGAACAGGGATTCCAAGCAGAGGGTCTTTGGCGACATCAATTGAAGTTCAAACTGGTAACTCCGTGGAGGTGTTGAGCATAGCTGTAAAACACCGACTGCAAACGAAACCCAGAACCCAGATTTCAAAGATAAAGGTAAAAACAAAAGCTAGAAACAAAGAACAATTCGTACTTTAGATAGAAATGAAAGAAAAAATTGTTTAGTGGTGTGCCTTAACAATGGCAGGAAGACTGGGATGATAGCACAGTTAGTAGCAATGTATCACAAATGAGGATTCAGAACAGATTGGAAGCCATGACCAGGCGTGAGAGAGCCTTGGCTTATGCTTTTGCACAACAGGTGGAGCTCACAACATTATGCTTCAAGACAAGTTTTAAGCTGAAATGTTAACTTAAAATATTTATGCAGCTAAGAATCTGTTCAAAGAGGAAACAATCAAGAGCTGATGGTGAACACAATATGAGTTGGAGCTGGCTAGAGAGGTGGATGGCAACCCGAATCCCAGAAAGCACCGTAGTTGAAAATAGCAACCAGAGAGTTGTTATACAAAAAAGAGTAACGGATTTTGCAGGGGAAGAAAAGGAGAGTTGAGGATCTAATGAGGTACCTGTGCACCAATTTGATTGCTTATCAGTGAGTGAAAGTAGTGAAAAGGATGGGCACAGGCCATCAATGAACAGTCTGAAGACAGCAAAAAATATTTCAAGACGGAAAACTGTTCCAAGCTACCAACTGCCTAAGAAGTGTGCCAAGGTAAAGCTGTTATAGCTCACTTTTTCAGGTTTCCATGTGATAGAACTTGGTGCAACTGTAATTTAAAAAGTTCCTGCAGGGGAGCAAGAACGATACTTCAAGAGAAAGCGAAAAGGGTAAAAATAATAACAGGAGGCCACCTGGAGGGAAGAAATAGAAATCGAGGGGCCAGATGCTTCAACTCAACAATCACCCAATCACTTGATCAGATCTGGCTGAAGAAAAAAAGTTTCATTAGGGTCCTCGGATTTTTTGGGCTTCAATATATAGAATCCCCTTGTAATTATAAATGCTCTTACTGCTAGTCAACCAATGCGGAGGCACTAGATGCTTTGCTTATCAATCAAGCATTCTTTCTCAGTTATAACACAAAGCAGAAACAAGGATACTATAAGTATATCTAGATGGCAACTATTTCCAAATAAGACTGATTAACATGTTCAAGAAATCAACTACAGCAAGGAAACCCTGGGAACGAAGCATGGTTTGGAAATTTTAATAACATTACATGGAATGTGAACAATTCGCCAAATACATGAAACCTGAGAAATTCACCACTTAGCAGTCCAAATTTATGAGAGCAAATTCCATACTTAAGCCTTTTATAACAACCGCTGGCATAAGCCATATCACTCAAGATTGAGCACATGTTTCAAACAGGGTCAAAATGCCAACGCCTAGATCTTATCAATATCTTCATCTTCAAACTCAATATAATCATCTCCCGCACCTTCATCCTCTTCATCAATGATGCCCTCATTGAGACGAGTGCTCTCTGGAAGTTCACCATACGCTTTAAGGAGCCTTGCTTCATCAGGCATGTACTTCAGAATCACATCAGCCTTGTCATCCTGATAATCACGGAGCCCCACTAGGATTATATCACCTGCTGCAATCCAGACTTTCTTGTGCATCTTTCCACGGATATGGCAGAGGCGCTTAGTGCCATCAATGCACATGGCTTCGCAACGGCCATTGCCCAGCATACGAAGCACTTGGGCATACTCTTGTCCGTCTTCCTTGAACACAAGCTCACGCTTTTCATCATCAGCTTCGTTCTTTCCTCTCTTCCTGTTCTTTCCTCCCTTACCCTTGTTCTTCGGCATGGTTTCTGGACCTGCTCTTTGTGCCTAACAAAGAACCCATTACTTTGCATTAACCCGAAAAGTTCCAAAAAGCTCAGTCAAGAATAGATAAACCTGGGAAAGTTACATCAGCAAAAGATCCAAAGTGAACTAACTTTAAAAACCAGTTCAAAATTTCACTTTCACTACAGGATTAAAAGGTAAAAAAGTCTAAATTAATCCAGCAAGACAAACTTCCAAACTAATTCAGTTTTGAGTCAGGACTCATGGTATAAGATAGAACTCAGATGCATATAAATATGTCAATAAACAGACAAAAAAAACAAAAGCGGAAAGAAAATATCAAAAAAATTCACAACCATACTCCACCTTATTCATCAAAAAAAAAAAAAAAAAAAAAACCACTGCATCTACCGAAAACTTGCTTCTTTTTTCTTAATTTCTCATACGTATAAAAGTTGAAGTGATATCATTGTTCAGTCTCTCTGTCATTCCCTGCTGCAATCCCAATGCATTCAATATGGAAACAAAATGTTTACGATAATTCTTGTACAACTGAACCAAAGAGCAAGGAGCCAAGGAACGCTGCAAATGCTTGAATGAATAACAGGAAAAATTACTTAACAGTAAGAAACTGTTTATAAATGGAACTTATAAAATCATATCTAAGAGTGCATGATGTCTTGTGCCCAAGAAATCCCAACTGTATATGACCGGTGTACCCTCGTTTTCATAACAGGGACATTTTTCATAGGGACATCCAAATGCCTGTCATCTGAGCCTGTCATTTGTTTATCGGAAACCAACTCATTTGTTTCAGCAAGATATAGTAGTCCCTGACAATTATTGTTGGAATATGTAATCAGAGTACAGAAGGGAACTGCAACAAAAAATGTGAGACTTGTATACCTTTGGTGATTTCTCTTCAAATTTCACGGCTGAATCAATTGCCAATTTAGCACCAGCATCCTGGCAAAGAAAGAGAAAGCCATAATGCAATCACTTTCTTAATATGGAAAATAATGATAAGTCTATGAGCCTACAGGTGCCAGTTAGAGCAAAAAAGCATGGTACATTATGCAGGAATTCCTTATGAAATAGGTCAAAATGATGAAACATGACCACATGAGAATAGGATTGTCTTCATGGAGACTGATTTTCTAGTCTAGGTTTCTACTCTTGTCTTGGGCTTTTGTATGGTTTATATGTTCTAATTTGTGGTATGGTAATTATGATTTGTTCCTACTAAGCTTCTCCTCTGAAATGAAAATTTTTAGGCAAATGATTGACTGAGGCTACTACTTTTCCAGTTGGTCAGTGCAGATCTTGAAATAACAAGTGTGAGGTGTTTTTATAACCCAAGCATATTCTCAATTATCCCCCAAGATATGCCGAATAGCATGCTGACACAAATACAATACCTAGGATCTATAATGTATAGAAATTACAATGCCCAGATATTAGTAAATTACACAGATTGTCTAGTTCTAACCTGAATCAATTTAGCATTTAGTTGATCAGCATTGTCTGCAGCTACTTGGCATAGATACCGAATGTTTGCATTAGTCACATCCTGTATATATTGAAAAACAAGGAAGAAATGAAACTCAACAAATTCTAAGTTGATTGTGTATTATAACTGTACTCATTCTAATTACAGTTACAGAAACATTACTGATTTGCTCTCAAGACGATCAATTTTTCCTTCCTGTACAGTTCACCAACAAATAAACCATCAGTTTAGGATTCTCCAAGAATATATGAAGTGCAAAAGAGAAAAATAAATGCAACTCACCACTCCAGCTACCATCTGGTAAATCATGTCCACATCTAAACCAATTTGAGAAAGGTTTAACTTCATCTCATTAACCTGAGTTGCAAGCAACATTCCATGTCAAAAATGTGCTTAGTTTGTACCTTTCACAAAAGTGTAGAAGATTTTCTTTATGGTCAGACTACATTTTTCTCTCTCTTAATTACATTTTAATATTTATGAAAAGTCAATCTTAGAAAAACTCACATTATTGTTAAACAGAGTAAAGAGAGTACCAAGTTATCAACCTCTGCTCTGGTGCATACAAGGAAATTAAGAAACCCATTTTGCTAGCTAATATTAACTAAAACTTAGCATAACTGTTCACAGAAGTGAAGACTAAGAAGGCAACATCCATGACTCGAGCTTGATGAGGCATACAAGAAATGATCTGTTACTAACAAAAATTGCTGGGAAAGGAACCAGGGACTGAAGTTTTCCTGTAACATAGCCTGATGATGGAAAATGCATGGCCAATTGGCTTTCAGCAGGGGAGCCTTTAATATATGATTTTGAACTCTTGGAAATTTAATTTGAATGCAAGAAATGGAATGTGTAGCAAAATTTAATATGAGCTCTACTCTGGGAATGTAAGTGAACTGAAATTTCACTCTACTACAGTAGAATGTATATGCTAAAAAATGCATCTTGCTCTGAATAAAAGATAGTGCTCTACATTATTTGCAATGAGCTGAGAGGTTTCCATCTGCTCCTCTAGTTTCCAGTCCAAAGTTTCCAGTCTCTTTGTTAGATGTTTCTTTGTCGCCTAGTCAAGTGACAGTCAATGACAAATCAAATGTTGAAAACCATGTAAAGAAAATAATGGCCACAGAAAATCATGTGACTAAACAGAAGAAAAACTGATCCGACTCACAGTCAACGTTCGAGATACATGCTCTAATTGTTTTGACACAGTTGCAACAGCATCAGCCATATTTCGCTTTGTTACAAACATTACATCTGAAAATGACCAGCCCTGTGAGAGAAGTGAATCAGCAATCTGCACATGCCAATTAAATGCAACACCAGAACCACAAGAAATTTTGACAAAAATATTTATTGTAAGTCATCAATAAAATTAACCTTCCACCACATGTAACAATATCCCATTGCTCCAAGTGCAGCAGCTGGAACTAGATAAGAAAAAACCCCTGAAAGCACAAGGATATTTAACATCATATGAATCCAGATGACTTCCACATACAGCACAAAAAGTTATTCTTAAGGACATTATTTTCAAAGAAATTAATCAGAATAAATAATATGCTAAAGACAAGAAGCATGGTTAGCATGGATTCCGAAAATTACAAGCTGTTCTGAGTAGGACTTACAACTGGACTTTGCTAACACTTAATATATCTGCATCTGACAATTTTGTGTGCAAAACAAAAAAATCACAAGTCAATGTTAGCGTGGCCAAAAAAACAAGTCAATGTTCACTGGACTAGTGAGTTCTGATCTAAGAGAAGCCACAGATTTCCTTGTACTGTAAAACTAGATTAGCATTTACAGTCCTGTGACTGAGAGTATAAACAAAAAACAACGCAAATTACAATTGAATGAAAGCATCAGGAGAAGACATTTAATCACTGGAACTGGAGGCAGGCAGAATAAGTATCAGGATCAGAAGCGGTGCTCCTTTAGGTCTATGGATGAAATTGTGGAATTGAAATACAATTCCATTACCATGTTGCATTTAAGCCCGAACAACATAACCATAGGCCAATTGTTATGCATCAATTACTTACTTTAAAGCCTTAAAAAAAGACTAAGTTTTATCCAGTCCACAACGATTAAACTTATATCAGTCATAAAGAAATTCAAAATTTACTTCAAAAAAACCCAAATCATGTAAATTTATTGGAGCTCCTATGCTTATCACATCACAAAGAGGCACCAACGCTGATTAGTCAACACCAAGAGAGGGAACCCTTTAAATTCTTCAATTTTTGGATCAAGCATGATCAGTTTCTGCCTATAGGGAAGCAAGTTTGGGATGAAAATCAAGTTCCAGGATGCTATTTGTTCCAACTTTGCAAAAAGTTGAAAGCTTTCAAGTCAAGCTTAAGAAGGCTGAATAAGGAGCACCATGGTGATCTTTCTAGCAAAGTGCTACATGAGAAAGCTAAATTCCATAGCATTCAAGCAGACCTATTAAACAAGCCCTCATTCAGATTTGATCCAGATTGAGAAAGATCAAGCTCAAAAAGTGGCTGAGTTACAGCTAGCTGAGGAGATGCATTACAAGCAGAAATCCAGAATTAGATGGCTTTGTCAAGGGGATGGAAACAGCAGTTACTTTCATAAAATTGTAGAGTAAGAAGGAATAAATGTGCAATAAGGGAGCTTGTAAATTCAGAGAACAAAAAGCTCACCACAACTCCTGAGATGGAATCTGAAGCTATTCAGTTTTATCAATAGTTTTGGGGGACTCTAGACACTAAATGTAGTGATGTGGATGCCACTTGGCTTAGAAGTTTGCTCAACTTTCAGTTGTCTACCAATGTACAGGAGTCGCTTATTCAACCCATTTCTGAAAAGGAGATTAAAGAGGTGGTTTTCTCCAGCCCAAGGAATAAAGCCCCAGGTCCTGATGGCTATACTTCTGAATTTTACCAAGCTGCTTGGCCCATAACAGGTGATCTGGTCATCAAGGTATACAAGAATTTTTCCTTTTTGGTAAAATCCTTAGGGAGATGAACTCCACAATAATTTCTTTGGTTCCAAAGGTCCCTAATCCTTCGAGAATGTCCGGGTATAGGCCTATTTCTTATTGCAATTTGATCTATAAATTCATAACAAGGATCATTGCAAACAGATTAAGGAAATACTTTGCCATTATTTGTGAGTAGAAATTAGTGTGCTTTCATCGAGGCGAGGTTAATGGCTGAGAATATTCTTTTGGCACATGAATTGGTTAAAAACTATCACAGAGAGAGTCTGGACCCTAGGTGTGCACTAAAGATTGATATCATGAAGGCTTTTGACTTGGTTTCTTGGAATTTTATCTTCCAGGTTTTAATTGCCTTGGGGTTTCCCACGCAGTTTGTGGATTGGATAAGGGCCTGCATCACTTCAGCAATGTTTTCAATCTCTTTTAATGGGAATCTAATAAGCTATTTTCTAGGAAGGAGGGGTGTTAGACAGGGTGATCCCTTGTCTCATTACATCTTTGTCATATGCATGGAAATTATTTATAGAATGCTGAATAAGGCAGCCTCCGAAGGGCAGATAGCTTTCCACCACAATTGTGCTAAAACACAACTTACCCACTTGTGTTTTGCTGATGATTTGATCATTTTTACCGATGGAAGTACTTCTTCTTTATCTGCTATTGACAAGGTGTTGCAAGATTTCTATTCCTTCTCAGGTTTGAGAGTAAATTACAAGTCTTGAGATTTTTTGTTGGACTCCTTGTAGCTACAATTAACTCTCTATCTAGAAAATATGGTTTTAAATTTGGTACGCTCCCGGTGAGATACTTAGGCATCCCTCTGATTACTGGTAAGTTATCTAAGGAGCTTAAGCCACTTATAGCCAAGATCACTGATCGAATGACCTCTTGGGCAGCCAAGCATCTTTCCTTTACAGGTAGGCTGCAGTTAATCTCCTCTGTCATCCAAGGAATCACTAATTTCTGGTCATCCATTTTTATTCTTCCTAAGAAAGTAATTAAGTTGAGTAGAGGTGTAGTGCCTTCTTTTGGAACAAGTCAGTTGAGACTGCTAAGGGTGCAAAGGTGAAGTGGCAATCTATCTGCACGGCTAAGCAAGAGGGTGGCTTAGGTCTTAAAGGCCTTGATCTCTGGAATATTGCTTGCATCATGAGGTATATTTGGATGTTGTTCTCTTGTGCAGGATCTATATGGGTAGCTAGGGTGCATGAGCACCTATTGAGAGGTTGTAGTTTTTGGACTGTCAAAATTCCAATGGATGCCTCTTGGGGTGGAGGAAAATCCTTGAGCTAAGGCAGAAGGCTAGACAACTTGAAAAACATATTCCAGGTGATGGCAAGGATATATTTCTCTGGCATGATAACTGGCATCCTTCTGGGCCATTGATTGAGGCTTATGGGGCTAGAATAGTGTCTGATGTTGCAAAACCTTTTCAGGGAAAGCTTGCTGTAGTTGTTCATGGGAACTACTGGAACTGGCCGCCTGCTCACTCACTGCAATTAGTTCAGATACACGCTGCTTTGTTTGACAACATATGTCCTCAGGAAGGAGTAAGGGATGCTGTGGTTTGGTTACCCTCAGCTTCTGGTAATTTTCAAACAGGGAAGACTTGGAACTAGCTGAGTGAGAAGCACATCAAAGCTCCATGGTCAAAGCTAGTTTGGTTCTCTGATTTTATTCCTAAACATAGCTTTGTTTGCTGGTTGGCTATGTTGGACAGGTTAACCACCAAAGCAAGACAAAAGCACTGGACAGCAAGTATAATTGACACTTGTTCTTCTTGTGGTGTGACTTCTGAAACGTCTGAGCACCTATTTTTTTAGTGCAAATTCTCAGTAAAGGTTTAACAAAATCTGTCAAATATGGCTGGTATTCCCTTTTTTGATTCATGCTCTAGTTTGTTAGTTTGGATGGGAAGGAAAATTACTAAGAGGTCGCTGCATATAACTTTGATTAAACTTGCATGGACTGCTGCAGTATCTCACTTGTGGCTGGAGAGGAATCGCAGGATTCACCAGCAGCTTTTCCAACTGGAATGTGTGATTGTCACTGATGTTCAAAGAAATGTTCGAGATAGAATCTTAGGTTTTTCTAAGCCACACTCATCTCCCCTCTCTTGACAGATAGCTTTACACTGGGGGCTGGAAATTTTTGTAAGGTAGAGTTTTTTCTTCTTGTTGATAGACTAGTTATCCGTTTATTAGTTTTTGATTGTTCCCATGTATCAACCATATATAGCTACTATATTGTACATTGAAGTATTATTGGATAAATAAATTTCACATTTCATCCAAAAAAAAAAAAACCCAAGAACCTGACAGACAGCATGTTAATCAACTATAAGTCTATAAGCCTTTGAAAGTGTGGAAGCACCTAACGGATCAAAGATTCAAATAAAGAGAAATTGGTAGTTTAACAGACAGACGTAGTAAATCAATTATGAGCCTAGAACTCTTAACTCTTAAAGCAAAGAAAAAGCCAAGAAAATCTGATGTACATACCACTAGAATCTGAGTTCCGATTCAGGATGGTTACAGGATTTGACATTGATAATTCCTTTATCTCTTGGGCCAATTGTCTAATCTGAAGATAAATTCACACTAAAAGTATAAATGGAACATTCCAAAAAGAAGCATTATGCAAATGTCAACATGAACTATTACTCATCATGCATTACACGTAAAATATTTTTTTAAAAGTAATTTGCAATAAAGGACACAGTAATTATGTCTGAAAATTCCAGTGACTTCAACTGCTCATTTGCGACCTCGTTAATTGAAAATTCAATATACTGATGGCAAAGTAACCCCACAAAACCAAGGAATATGCTGTACCTGAGCTGCGAGGAGCGAATGATCGTATTTATAAGGTAAAAATTCAACTTTATCCACATCCTTCAGCAAATCCTGAAGCTGTGCAATGAGCTCAGATAAACGCCCATTCTTCAGAACAATCGAACCAGTCAAACCTATAATAGACAAAGTCGAGAAGTAAAACAGAATTCAAACGACTGCAATGAAATCCGAAGGCAAAACAGATATTGGGACCAATCAGAGATGATTCGATGGAGAAAATACCTGCACCCAGGAGAATCAGAACCTTAGGGCTCTGAGAAGCAACAGCCTGCTGCATCGCTACCTTTCCCCTTCGCTTCCCCTAATTCTCGTCGTCGTGGCCAAACCAAGACAAAGAAGAACGGAGGAGAAAGTGGAAGCAAAAAGTTTAAAACAGGGCAAAAACCCATTCTAAGCCCCTCAACTTTTTCAACAGCAAGTGATAAGCCCCTGAACTAAAAAAGTGGCAAATAAGCCCTCCAACCCCACGATGGGTGCAAATCAGCCCTTCCGCTAACTG